ACTTGGGAAACATAACCTGCAAGCGTTAACGGGCCCCATGTCCGGAATGGGCGCTCCTATCCGCATGGCACCCAAATACGGGTCCGCGAATGTTTTTCGCGGGTAAATCGCTAACTCGGGAATCAGTAAAGCCAGAAAACCGAAATTTTACAAGGACTTTCCCTGCCCACGTAAGTCTTAATGAGCTTCAAACCAGCCCCGGGTGCGCATGGTACCCACGTATTGGTCTTCTAGCTTCTCAGATTCTCTGGTTAGCGATCCGTGAAATTTTTTCGCGGGTAAATCGCTAACTAGAGAACCTGAGAAGCTAGAAGACCGTATTTTACGAGGATATTACCCATTCATGCGAGTCTCAACAAGCTCAAACCCAAACATCGGGTATGCGTGGCACCCACGTACGGCCCGTGAAAGCTTTTTTCGAGTAAGTTGCTAACTCAGGAGCCAGGAAAGCTAGAAAGCTAAAATTTTAAGGGGGTGTTTCCTGACAGTCCTGGCGGGCAGTCTTAATTCGTTTAGCTAGAAACATCTGCCGGAAAAACTGGTGCCGGTAGGAACAAAAACTATGGGGTACTATGCGAAAAACGCGTCTTCGCACGCGTAGCCCGTGCGCTGGCCAGTTATTTTTAAAGACAGTATGCTCATCACAAATTTTTGTAGCTTAGGGTTGTGGTCTAAAAAGTGAAAATCATGAACTTTTTGTGGAAATTGGCTAGAATTAGAACTGGTAGTGTGCAGTACGAAAATTTACAAGAAAGGCGCTTTTAATATTTTGTACAATACGACATTTCAAGTAGTGCTGCGGTAGCGCATATTTTCGAAATATATTCATAGTTGTAGGATAAAGGCGATCCTCAGCAGCGTAGTGAGAACCCAGGCTGGAACGCACCAGGCGGGCTTGAATTACTCAGGTCATTAACTGTGTGAATGGCTGTTGCTTTATACCTACCTTTTGCGGTCACTAGCGTAAATCACCATAGATTTTGCAAAGTAAATGTACAATTTCCATCTAACAGTCGTCCTTTCAGAGTAACCTAATTGTTCAGCAAGAAATTTTTTCGCCAAGACTTTTAAGTACCCGCACGTAAGAACTACGCATACTTCAAGGTTGAATTTTAAGTACTGAAGGTGTGCTTGGACAGAGAACATTCCCTCAAAAATTTCAGCTTTTCAGCTTTTCTGTTTATAAAAGTCAGCAATTTTTCCGCCGAAACCTTCGTATGCCCGTACTTGGGTACTCCACGTGCCTTGAAAGCTGAATTAGAAATTCTTAAATTGTACGTGTACAACGAACGTCCGCCTTCCACCTCTTCTGGTTGCCGAGTAAGTAATTTTCCTGCGGAAAATTTCATACGCCCTTAGCTCAGTACCACGCATACCTAGGGGCTGAATTTGGAATCTTTAGCTGTACATGCACAGGGAATATCCCTACAAAGTTTCAGCCCCTTAGCTCGTGTGATTCCCGAGATCGCTCCTCGCCAAAAAATTTACATATTTCTTTAATGCATCTGTACGCGGCACCTAGGCATCCACGGTGGATGAAATTAAAAGGGGAAGGTCGCGTATGGCATGGGCACATAATCCCAAATTTTCAGCCTTCAAACTTTTCTGGTTCTCGAGTTGAAAGTGGGTGACAAAAAGTGCGAACACACAGCCACTTCCCAATATGCATTTTTGCAGTTTGCATATATGCAAAAACGCACAAGAAACGAGCACTATACGGAAATTGTTTATTTTCTTTTATGCAAATTTGCGATGATTTACGATATTAAACGCAAAACATAGGTGTGAAGAAACAATCATTCATGCAGTTAACCTAATTAGTTCTAGTTTGCTGCAAAAACGAATGATCGCACCAGCAATCCTGATGCGTTCCAGCCTGGGTTTCGGCAAATGCTCGCTTTTTCAAAAAATGAAAAATGCAAGTTTTTGAAAATGCAAAAATTTTAGTTTACCGAAAAATAGAAATGTTGCTGGAGTGACCGTTCGTCAGAAAACCTAAATATGCAAATGAACTTGATGTTGAGAGAGGATGAACGGAGGGCCGTCTTTTTGCTGCAAAATGCGCTCTTTTCTGAATTTGCTGTAAAATTGAGTATTTCTCGTAACCACTTGCAGGGAATTTCACTATCGTGTCAAAACACGAAAAGTGATAGATAAAATTTGTTTTAGAATGTTGTATTTTGTTCTTTTGCTTTTACATAAAAAATATGTAAAAGGGGATTGCAAGGAGGGAGGATTAAGAACTTTTAGGGTAGGAAAAGTGGTCATTCCAAAAGAAGGGGCGCGGGAGTAAAGCGATTACTGGAAAAAGACTGCGAAGTCAAAGGGTGGTTTCAACGGGGATAAGAAGATTGTTGGCGATCGTCAGGGGCCGACGACTGCAATATTCTTTGGAGTATTTTAGGCTCTGGGATTGATACTTGTATTATTAAGTTACGTGAACGTTGTGCTTTCGAGTTTGTTGTTAAAATAAGAAGTTTAGCTCTTTGCTTAGAGCACAGTTAATTTGATCATAAATCAAATGATCAGCATTCACCTCCAAGCAGAATTAAAACCGCACATGAAAGTAAATTATCCCGGCGAAGTTTCAGCCTCACGTCTTGTACGGTAAACAAAATAGCCACTTCGCTACAAATATCTTTGAAGTGCCCTAAGTAGTGGCGC